GCTCAGATATAGGGGTTGGGATGGAGGTTTACGCAGAAATCTGCTTCGTGCTTAAGGCCTTACGAATAATTTGGCCGTGAACGAGGTCCTTCTTGCACGTTGTACACCTCGATCTGGGTTTCAACTAGTGGGACTGAAAGGATTCTGGCTGCTCAGCTGGTTCGACCCTAGCCGCATCTTCAACTTGTAGGCGTTCATGATGTGTAGCTTGTACATTGCCTTGGGCTTTTGGATGGTAAAAGCATTCGGACAGCCAAGACGAGGCCTGACCAACTTTCGCTTGTGATGCTGGGGATCCCAGCTCAGTCAAGGGCTCGGGCTAGTTGCGGAAGCATGCGGCGCAAATTCTTGAGTGGAGATGGGGCTTATAATGCTTCGACTCAAGCTTTGGGGTCTTCCAAAAAGAACTCAGACATGAGCTGTTGAGTGCCAGAGGCGAAGGCAAGAGAAATCCCCCGGCAATTTGAGACAGCAGCATGTTTTTCTCCATGCAGACTCGCAAGCTAAACGAGCACTCCGACCAAGTGAGTAAGCAGAACCATTTCACTATGAGCTTTGTGTGTCATAGCCCCGAACCCTACTGTACCAAACAGTAGGCAATGGCTGCTAGACAGATTAGAGGAACTAGTCCGCAAATGGCATGTATGTGGGTAAGGCTCTGCTAGACTGTGGAACTGACATCTCACGGGTGCCGGCAACAATGCAATGCAGCCTGCAGCTGCACTGAGCTTGTGGGAACGAAAGCCTCACGCACAGCCAACGTAAGAGCGTGCCACTTGAAAGCAATGAGCACACCAAGTAAGGACCACGATTCCTTAACCAGAGCATGTGACCATGGGATTGCTCATTCAATCAGTACTGGGCAACATTCGGCTGCGCACAGAAGTACTTGGGACGGCCCTGCCATCCTTTGCGGGAAGGCATGACGCTGCAAGCAACTTTCTGCGCGACTCTACGGCGACTCTGTGCTGTCGCTGCAACAGCCGCTGTGCCTCGAGAAGTGGCCACGAAACGTTTGTTCGACACCTACTGGCTGCAGACAGGCCTGCTTCGGCGGCCGCAACTGAATTAGTTGAGAGTCCAAGTCCTCCACAAGCTGTCTCCGAAATGCAACTTGTAATTTGGAACGTCGTCAGGACGGCCTATATGTGCAGGGTCGTAACAGTCTATGCGTCCAAGCACCAAGTCTCTCAACAGGGGTAACTAAGATGAATGCAATCTCTGCGTGCACACATCTGGGCAAATAGCACAGGACTGCTTAGCTTGGCAACATTCGGCTGTGCACAGAAGTACCTGGGACGGTCTCGCCAACTTCTGCGAGAAGGCATGACACTGCAGGCAACCTTCTGTGCAACTCTACAGTGCCTCCGTGCTGTCGCCGCGACAGCCGATGCATCTTGACACCAATCTCCTATTGGACCTACTGGGTGCAAGCAAGCCTGTAAGTTCCCTTCACACCCCAACGCCCCGAACGGAGACAGCGCCCTCGGAATTCGCATATGTTTGAGGTCTTTATGACTAGTGCTGTGACCAGACCTTATGTAAATATTGACAGGGGCAGGGCAAAGAGTCCCGGACTGGTCGGAAACTCGGTAGTGATGTAGGCGCCCTGTAAAATACTTCCCAACCTTAGCCCAAGGACTGCAAAGACTGTCACATGTCCGTAAGCAATCTTGAACCCAGATTACGCTTGATGCTTTTGGCACGAACCGTACAGCACATGCCGGACAGCAGTCTACAAATCATGCAACAAGTTGCCAAGCTGCATCCGCAACTAAAGCCTGATAATACTTCGACATCTTTTGCCAAATGTCGTGGAGACAGGACCGTGACATTGAAGCACAGCTATCGCTGCACCAGAAGCGTGCTTCAAAGCCGCTAGCACGCCATCCTCATGTTGACAACACTATGTCTACAGTAGCTTTAGATCACGTCAGAACTGCTGTTGCAGTATTACTGTCGTCAGCGTCCTTACCGGTCGATCCGTTCGGACCACAGTGTAATCACCCGAGGTGGATGGCGCCACTGCTGGCAGCTGCCTCAACGAAAGCCTCCACTAGTGCGGCTTCATCGTGGACACCCCGCAGTGCAAAGGCAATGTTGTGAGACTTGAACATCTCACCAATCTGGCTCAAAGTCGCCTTGTTGCATCCATTGCCCAAGCCGATGCACGTGAGCCCCTTGATACGATCACCGTGATCCGCCAACAAAGACGTGAGTTCGCCTTGAGGAAATGGCGCGCCACCATCTGTCAGGAACAAGATAAGCTCCTGAAGGATGGCGGGGAAGATCTGCGAAGCAATCATTGAAACTCTCCGCGCAGATAGCGCTAAAACTCAGACGCCAACCCAACACAACACCCTAAATCTGAAACACAAAACACTACTTCCGGTCAATCGAACATGGGAGATGCTGGAGCGACACCAGAAGCCTTGAAACACAATCAGTTTGGGGATTGGTCAGTGATTGCAAACTTGAAGAATGCGCCCATTCAGCACACACACGCGCATATACTATCTATCTATCTATCTATCTATCCATCTAGCTATCTAGCTATCTGTCTATCTGCCTATCTTGCTATCTGCCTCTCTGTCTATCCATCTTTTTTGTCTATTTGTGTATCAGCCTATCTATCTAACTATCTATCTATCTGTCTGCCTGCCTGCCTGCCTTTCTGCCTATCTATTTATCCATCTATCTATCTATCTATCTGTCTGCCTATCTGCCTTTCTGCCTATCTATCGGTCTGCCTGCCGATCTATCTATATCTATATATCTCTATTCAATATATACATCTGTATGTATATATATATATACACATATATATATATATACAGATCTATTTATCTATGTATCTATCTATCTATCTATCTATATTGTCCTATATATATATGTACGTGTGTGTGTGACTGTATGTATGATACACCCTCGGAGGACATGCGGTCAATCTATCTGCTGTGCTTTAGCCCAGAGACAGTTTTTAGGGCTCGGAGTTGTCCGTGCATGACCACGAAAAGTAGCACTTGCAGAGCTGGTTACCCTAAGTACTCTACATGTGCAAACTGCCCATACAGACTCCGCACCTGAGGTTCAGGTACCGGAACAAAATCTGAACCAACCGATGTCAGCTGTTTCCTTCTCGAACTAGAGACAGTTCTGCAACACCCCCTCGGCTCTTGAAATGCCCGCGCCTGCGTGCAGTCGGGAGATTTGTTCATGATCTCTCGACATTCTGCGAATGCACAAGCAAAGCTTGTCGTGCCTGCTGCGTGTCACGAAGACTTTGTGTAAGGGGCTTGGCACCAGAACCCCAAAACTGGATACAGTACTTGACTTGAAACTAGATCGAACACTCGAGTCCTAGTTAAAGATCCTGCAGATCCCACTAATGGAGCTTTCAGCTGCGACCCTTAGGATTATAGCTGAGGAAGGACATTCTTCTTAGATATGCGCAATGCTCAAAAATGTTCAAGTTTATCAACGGCGGCCCTAGACCATGACTTCTTCCCACACCTACTGCTGCTGCCTGTACGGACTACATATGAACACGGAATCATCATTTGTACCCGAAACCTAGAAACCCACATTTCTAAATTACACAGCCCTACTTAGGGGCTGAGCACCCTAGCCCGAAAAAGGTTAACCTTTTCAATTTAAGCCCCAAAAGGTTAAAACCCCAAACCCTGAAACCCTAAATCCTAAGCTCCAAACCCTGAAACCCTACACCCTGACAGCCTCTAAGCCCATAAGCTCCAAAGCTGAATCGCAACCTCAAGCCGCCCTCGGCCTCCAACCTGACGGTGCTCAATGGACTGAACGGCCGAGGCCTTGGCGTGCGTCGGTGTGATGACCTGGATCAGAATGGGTTCTCAGGGTTTAGGGTTAAGGGGTAAACCGTAATGGGGCTTAGGGAATGAGAGTACCACTACACGGCTGCACTTTGCCACCGATTGCCCTAGACCCAACACCACCCGGAAGTGTCGCCTGTTTTTGCACCTTGACATTATGCAGTTCAACATCCTGCGCGATGTCGAACCCTGGAGACAGTGCCGAGCCAATCCAGTTTCGGAACTAGGACAGCACAGCTGCTGCCGAGCGATGCACTCTGCAGAGAACATGCGCTAAACCCTAAACCCCCCAGAAACTCCAAAACCCCGCAATTAAGGAATATACCTTAAATTATAAGTGGAACCCGAATAAGATTTAAGGTATAGTCCTTACTTAAGGGGTTTTGGAGTCTCTGGGCTTGAGATACTGAAAGTTGGCGATTGGCGAGCATGGAAGTCTGCGCTGCGCTCATGCGCATCTGGCGTCTTGCAAAAAGGGGAGGTCCACTTGGAGGTTAATGGGTAGTTATAAGTGGGGTTATAAGTAGGGTAACTATAGCTATAACCCAAATTAGGGGACCTATAACCCCACTTATAACTACCCATGAACCTCCAAGCAGGTCATCTCGCTCCGAACGCTGCAGGATTTAGTCGCACCCCCAAAAATTATGGAGAACAATAGCCCTTTCATAGGCATTGGGCCATAATTTGGCCTACTGTGGGGGTTTAGGTAGGGTTTACCTATAGTCTCCATTGTAGTTACCTTGGTGGTTCACCATTTTTACGGCTAGGATCCTATAAGATACTTGGTTAAACCTGCATGTGATGGACAAGTCGGACAGGCTTTGGAAGCCTTAAGTAACCTATTAGCAAGATGAAGCAAGCAATCTACACTGAACTCTCAGCCTTCAAACATAAATCTGGAAGCAGACCTAAGCCAAAGCTCGTATCTTTGGTCACTGCTACTTGCTACTGGTTACTACATACAAAATACAAGCATAAGCAAACATGTAGAGAAATGGCTTATTGTCGTCTCCTGTGAACATGCCACTCTTGCCTGCAACCCCAAGCCCTGCTAAACTACCTCGCAATGACTCCTTAGTTACGCCCCACAGAGTAGGTGGTCCTCGAAGAGAGGAGTGCAGGCCAGATGTGGCATTCGTCAGGTCTACCCTAAACCCAAAATCCTCTTAGCTCGGCCTGGGCTTCGTGGTTAAAGAGGACGACCGAAACGCTTGTTGTCGAGCCTTTCTCCTCCTGCTGCACGAGCTCCTGTTGATACCGGGCTAGAGGTTAGCTGCAGGCCAAACTTTATAAAGGCTCAAATTAGAATCAACCTATACTCAATTTAAAGCTCTTCTGGGCTACAAGTCTAGTGTGGGGGGAGCTATTTCGCCAACTCCAAACAGAATGAATACCTAATTCCCCAAACCTCAGGCTCCTGCCGGAAACGGTTGAAGGCCCTGTCCATCTGCCTTTTGCTCTCGCCATACATGGATCCCGAGATATCCTGATGAGGACTGTTCTTGGAGCTCTGCGTTATCAGCATTGCTGGCGCTTCTCCAAGAGCTAGAATAACTAGAGTCTAGCTGTAGGCGTATGAAACAAACACTCAAAAACAGCCCAGTATCCAAGAGGACAGAATAGTGCACCTTGCTCCCAGACGCATTCCAGGATGCCAGCTTCTTCAGCTTCTCGCTGATGTCCGCATTTGGCTTGAAAAGGAGCTCTCCCCACCTTTGAGTTTCCGCCTCAATAACTCGTGCCGCACGACGACGTTCTGCAGCACCCTGCATCTTGGAGACGGTCTTCTCATGTTGCTTGGACGTTAAAAGTCGCTGTGTCTGCTCGCCGGTGCTTGTGGACAAAGTCTTCAAGTCTTGCTCGGTGAAGCCGAACCTAGGATCAGCATGGTGGTTAGCCAATGGCCAAAAGTAATGTGCCTGTAAGACATAGACTTATACTTACACATACTAAAACTCAAGACACTCAAAAGCTGACTACAACTGCGAGCTGGAGGAGCTTCCCCTCTAAGTGTACGGCACACAGCGCCTGTATGTAGAGTCCCCCTCGGCCCTGTCGTGCTGTGCGGCCCTTGAGCTGTCTCTCTTCGCTGGCATAGCTGGACAAAAATGTTTGAATAACCACCTTGCTTCGAGGCCGTTTCGGCTCAGTAAGCATGTTTCGTTTCCCCGACAACCTATAAGCCCCAAAATCATCCCATCATGCATTATGTGAAGCCTGGCAAGACAAGGAGCCTCGTCTCTGCAGTCTATCGGCCATAGACACCAACAAGACTAACAAGACTCGGCATAAAAGTCCTGCTCTTCAGTTGGGGTTTAGGGTTTAGAGTTGACTCTAATCCCAAACCCTACAAATGACCTCTCTTCGTCACCATGCTTGACTATGTCCAGACAAGGCAAGCCGCAAATGTGTGCTCTTGTGGCATAGAAAAGTCGACTCCTCGGGAGAAAGGCCTGGTGGCCAGTGTGACTTTGCCCTTAGAAGTTGCTGCCGCGATGTAGCCATTCCTGATGTCGGGGAAGCGGCTGTTCTGCATTGTGGGACTCTGCTGGTACTGTAACCAAGTATGTTGCCGGTACAGTAGCCTATATTCTCCGGCTCCCCAAAGGAACCTACCTGATATCCAGAAGCCTGTCCACTTCACCGCGCCTCCTCTTTGCATCTGTGCGTTCCGTCAAGCACTCCATGTCGGTCCAGCCTGGATATTTCCGAAGCTGTGTCTCATTCTTGAAGAACACAAGTACCTGGGATCAAGTCAGCTGAGCCCTGAACACTTTATAATAGGTCAGGGCGCTGGGCCGAGGGCAGAATGCCTTGCTGTGATAATGATCAAATTCATTTGGGCGGTTTGGTGTTTAGGGTTTAGGCCACTGCATGCTGCTCCTAATGATTCTAATGTGACCACCTTCCACAGGATTCAGCATACGGTCTGCGGCTAGGTTGCAGAGTTCCCGTTCCGTCGCTCTTCATCGGCCAACTTGGCAATGCGGGACATCCAGTCCTGCTCATTCGCAAGGACCTTGTCGGGGCTCGTGCACTGTTTGGGCATGCTGAAGTGCATGATTGCACGGTGCAATCTGCAAAAGAACATGTGTTGATGCACATTTTGTTTTCAACACATCTGGGAACAACTTCAACTTGGCCGGGTGCATGAATATGCTCTGCTGGCTTGAAAGTCAATCGCGGTGCACCGAAGATGGATGGAGCGTAAGTGAAGTGCTTGAACCCATATTCGTTTCTGAGCATCTTGTCAAAGCTCGGGATGTCAAGAAGCTCGCGGAGTGTGCCCGTGACGCCCATGATGCAGGCATATGAGTTCGGTAGGTCCGCAAAGCTGAAGCGTCCACAGAAGAGGTCAATGCCAACATGCTCGAGGATCTTCTCCTCGCTCAGCTTGCCCTCTTTCGCGAAGCTGAGGTACGCAAAGCAGGTCTTGTTGCTCTGGGACACACCTTGATCTTGAAGCTCTGTGGAACTCTGGTGGCTATTTCTGCCGACAGGCTTAAGGATATGTAGTCTACTAGAGCTGAAGAGGAAGCTAAAACATGAATAATTGAGCACAACCAAGCACCATAGTTTATCTGGTCGTGCTCGCGATAGCCAATGAGACCCGTGGCTGGATCGAGCACTGGCTCTGGCTTTGTCCACTCTTTAACCTTGAGCTTGCACTGGTTTGGGTATTCTTGTCGCTTATCGGTCTTCGCTGTAACAAGTCTCGTTGAGATAGGTAAGTAACATGAACCCTAGCTCACATGCATGTGACAGCGATCTACTAACTCAGACTGTACTCACACTCAGACTCTGACTCCTATAGAAGGTTTTAAGGCTCGGGAACCATAAACCGTCTTCTCAAGGACGCCCGAGCGACGTTCTCGCAAAGGAGGGCCGCCACACGGGTGAGAGTCGGGGTGAGCTCAGCCGGATAACGTGCCAGCAAGTCCTAGCTGTAAGCTCGACAGTTCATAACAGTTCTACGTAATGTATCCCTTCGGGCCGTGTGGGCACAAGGCTTCGCAAGACGTACTTGCTCACTTAACCCACCCAGCCTGCTGTGCGAAATTTCGATGCCCCCTTAACCCTGCAGACTCCAAACTCTGCAGTCCCCGGGTGTTCGGCAGCTTCCTCCCCCCGGGTACGAACAACTGCAGATGCGGCGGGGCTTGCAAAACTTTTGAGATACGTCCCCCTTACATGTCACGCACACTGTTGTCCTGAAAAGGTTGCGTCGTAGCGATGTTTCTGATGGGGCGCCCTTCTGCGGTTTCGTCGAAGATGAAGCGCACCAAAGCTGCGGCCTGCAGCCGGCCACATATTCCGAAGGTCCATGTCCCCACGTAGACTAATGCGAATAACTTTTTTGCCACAAAATAACTTGTGTGTATGTATGTATATATATATATATACATGTGTGTATGCATGTGCATGCAATTTGATGTAATATAGTATATAAAATAATAAATTATAAACTACACGCACAAAATACCAAAGTATATAGCGCAGTACAACAACCGTATAATGAACAACAGCTTGAACCGAAGGACGTAACGATTCTTTCGTTTCTACATCTCTATCTATCCATCTATCTGTCTATCTAGCTAGCCAGCTAGCTAGCCAGCTATATCTCTACCTATCACATACACCTGCATGCATGAACATATGCGTGTGTATGTCTGTCTTTCTGTATATACATTCATATATATATATACATACATATATATATATACATAAATATAAATAAATAAATAAATATATATATATATACATATATATATATACATACATATGCATGCATGCATATCCGCCGACCCCCGGGCCGGCGCACAGATCCCAGTTGGCTGGTTGGCTGGATCACGTGCTCGTAGAGAAATTTAATAGAGTAATTCGGGCCCTAGATGGATTGATTGAATGAATGAATGAACGAACGAATGAATATTAAGGAATGCATGAATGAATGAACTGCCTGCGTTGCCCGACTCTGGGCGCAGCCCCTTAAATAAATAAATACATAAGTAAGTAAGTAAATAAATAAGCAAATACAGAAATATGCAAATAAATAAATATATATATATATACGTGTGTGTGTATGTATGTATGTATGCATGCATGCATGCATGTATGCATGTTTTTTTATGTATGTATCTATGTATGAAACTGTGTATGAGGCTCTGTGTGTGTATGTATGTATGTA